CCTCCGCCATAGCGGTGGGGCCCTGCACCAGCACGCAAGGGAGGGAGGATTGGCAGCAGGGGAGAGAGGAGCAGGGGCGGCGGGTCGGGTCGTCACGGCGACAAGAGGCGGGGGCCGCGGCTGCTGATCGGCCCGGATGGCATGCGGCCCTGTGCAGCAGGCCAGCAGGCCGGCTGCTCTTTTCTACAGCTTGCTTGCCGCGCTGCGCGACAAAAACTGCTGGCCAGCGATGAACCCGCAGCTGGGCCCTCAGGCGATCCCATGAGTGGCGATGCACTCAGTAACGCACACTGGCTGATCCAGGCGACTGCTCGCTCTACTCCATCGCTCTAATTCGATCACCAGCTGCACGGCCTTCCTCTGCACCGCGAGTTCTAACTGTACTGATTTCCATTAACTCGCAATGAGGTCGTGATGAGGCCGACCGGGGAAGTGTTGGGCAAAGCACAGCACGCTTTGGGGGGCCTCCCCATCATCATGTGTGATGCATTGCACGTCCGGGGCGTCTCGCAATTGGATCTGTGGTGTACGCATCTCGTTTCAAGATCAGGCAGGGGCCTGCAGGGCCTCCAGCACAAATGGCCCTATCAACGGGCCTCGTCTCCACCACTTGGTTCCAGGAGACGGAGCACCTCGTGCAGAGCTGGCTGGTGAGATGCCGGAGAACCTCCTGACACAGCGGCTGGCGACGAGGCGAGGCTGCCTGCGGCGCTGACGGCGGGCGGGGCGCCCACCCGCCCCCCTCTCACCCACACATCTCACCCACCCCTGCCTCCTTTGCAGGCTACCTTTGCCACGGTGAAGCGCCATGGCTACATGTACAGCTACGACGAGTGGGATGCGGCCAGCCAGATCAGGGGGGACTATTACCTGAAGCGGGCCGCCGCAGGCGCAGCCGCCGTCGCGTGCTGGGTGGCCACGGCGAGCAACAGAACGTGAGACGGGGCTGTTGGTGTCGGGGCTTTGGGTGCGGCATCAGGATGGGGTGGATGGTGGGAATTGTGCAAGTGGAGGGCGGCAAGGGCGCAGGCATGCGGTGCCTCCTGCCCGCCATCCCCTTGCTGGCTACCTCCCTCGTCTTTCTGCCAGCACCCACTTGCATGCATGCACGCACGCGCGCCCCCGCAGGCACCCCTTCCGCGACTCCGCAGCCCGCCACTTTGTGCGCAGCTGGCTCGCAATGGAGGTGGGCCTGGCGGGCAGCGTGGCCGCCGTCAACTCCAACGCCGCGTTCCGCGCCGACGTGCTGCTCGGCCTGCCCACGCCGCTGGCCGGCGAGCTGGCCGCCGAGCTGCGGGCCCGCGACCCACGCCACGCCCTGCTGAGCGGCCGCGCCGCCAACCGGACACGCATCGCACACGGCTTTGCCGCCGGCGGCGGCGACGCAGGTGGGCGGGGCGGGCTGCTGGCTGAGCGTGTCTGCTGTGACCTGTCTGTCGCAAGTCAAACCAGGGTGCCTGCGGGCGAGGGCTCAGGGGGCTGAAGGGGCTGCCAACAGCACTTACCGGTAGCCGCCGCCCGCTCTGCTGGTGCAGGCACCAGCACGTGACCGACACAGTGCTTTTAAAACGGGAGCTTTGGCGCCGCGAGCGCCGTCATTGTCCCCAGCCTCAGAATCTCAGATCCGCACAGCCCGTGCCCTTCACAAGTGACTTCAGATTCCTGTTCTGAGACGCACCAGCACACTTTGTACACTTGTACCCACGGCCCCTCCCTGTACACTGCCACAATCTTTACAGGACCTGCATTTCATTGTGGTTGCTTTCATCAGAGCTGCGCTTCCATTTTGTCGTTTTCTGGGGGCAACCTTCGGCTGCATGTCACTGCTTTTCAAGTTGCTGTAAATGGCACAGCGTGGCTGTCAGCGGCTGTGACCTCCAGGTAACTAGTGTAGTGCACCTTCCTGCCCAGAACTGCAGGAGTGAGCAATAGCTTGGAAAGGCCGAAAGGATTCCTGTCAGGCTCCCTGGTGCGACTGCAAACGGCTTGCAAAGGCTGGGTCGCCCACACCCTGGCGACCACACCAGTGGCATGGTGAGTCCCGGCACGAGGCGAGCAGCAGAGACCCCGCTGCAGTCTTGTGGACAGTGGGTTGGGCCATGCACAAGCCGAGGCCTCCCCCCGCCAACACAAACACCAAAGGTCAGCGGTGCGCGCAGCTCGGCGCAGCGCTGCCGCCAGGTGTCGCGACTCTGCCTTGGCCGCTCCCCTTCGCCTCCGGCTGCGTCTTCCCCCCGGCTTTCGCACCTCCACAACAGCCCGGCCACCCGGTGCTATCAACGCGTGATGTCTGCGGCTGGCATGGGGCCCAGGGGCGTTATCGAGGCCACGGGCGGAGGCCTATTCAAGGTGGGGGTCGCCTGAGCGCATTCCGGATTGATCTGCCACACTCGAGGCTCCGCCCGGGAGCCGCCGTCCCACCCCGCTCGCCTCCCGCCCTGCAGGTCATCTTCCCACACGGCCGCAGGCAGCATGCGGTGCAGGGCCTGCTGTCAGCCGAGGAGGCCGGCCTGGTGTGCGATGTGTTGGCAAGTGAGGATGGTTGCTGTGTGTTTGCCGCCGCTGTGCACCCCCGCTCGACGTCGTCATGGGTGCTCCACATCGGTGTGGGTGCAGCCATAGACCCCTCTGGCGCACCTCCCTGCTGCAGTCAAGGACGCCCTTGATTGGCGGATGGATGTGGCCTCCCTGCAGCTTCACGGCCATCACAAGCTGCAGGCTGGCGCCATCGGGTGAGCTCTAGTCGGCGGCGGCCTGTAGCGGAGGCACCCTCCTCCCGTGCTCCACTGCTGCACATCCCGTGCACAGCGTGTCACCCCCCCACCCCACACACACATGCCCTTCGGCCTCATGTTGCAGGCGCCGCCTGGCCGACAGTGGCGGCAGCGAGCTGGACGGAATGCGCTTCTGCCGGCTGGTGCAGCAGCTGCAGGCCTGCACGGCGTACAAGCTTGGACTAGGTCAGCCCACAGCCTTTTTGCTGGTTGCGCGGCCCAGCGATGCTGCAGGCCCATGCCCCCTCCTCCTGCCTGTGCACACACGCATGACTGCGCCTCCCCTTGCACTGCAGTTCGCGAGGTGGCAGAGTCGGGCACCCTCCTTTATGCCGCAGCCGCCGTGGGCCACACGCCCATCATCCAGCTGCTCCTCATGACAGATCCGCAGATGGCAGCGAGGATTGACTGCGACGGACGCACCCGTCTGCACGCTGCTGCCCTGAAGGGCCACACAGCAGCCATCAAGATGCTTCTGGTCGCAGCACCTGACACAGCGGCTGCAGCTACCAGCGAAGGCTGGCTTCCGCTGCACCTAGCAGCAGAAGAAGGCCACACGGCGGCATGCAAGCTGCTGCTGGAGGCAGCGCCAGCCACGGCCACAGCAGCAGCCAGCCGGGGCATGACCCCGCTGCATCGGGCAGCATGGAGAGGCCACACAGATGTGGTTGAGCTGCTGCTGCAGGCGGCGCCTGAGTCGGTTAACGCAGCTGCCAGCGACGACGTCCTTCCGCTGCACTCTGCAGCATGCCAGGGCCACACGTCAGCATGCAAGCTGCTGCTGGATGCAGCACCAACAGCAGCTATTGCGACAGATGCGCGGGGAAGGACCCCGCTGCAGCTGGCACTGGGGATTGGCCAGCAGGCACCACATGTGGATGCGGCGCGCTGCCTACTCGCGGCAGGCCCAGCCCTGACCGTCCTTTTGGTATTGTCTGCTGCCGGCCTTCCAGCCCTGCCGCTGTTTGCCGATTTTCTCATTGCCCGCCCGCCGCTGTCTGGCGAGGAGTGGGCGCTGGTGCCTGCCCCCTGCCCTGGCCTGCGCCGAGCGCTGCCGGCTGCACTGGCGCACTCGACAGAGCAGGCGCGCCAGCTGGTGCTGCGCCTGCCACCTCCAGATGTGCAGCGGCTGCGCACCGCTGCCCTGGTCCTGCACCGCGCCCAGAAGCGCCGGTGTGTTTTCCTTCCGCCTCCTCTGCTCTGGCAGGTTCTTGCCCTGGCGGGGTCGTGACCGCCTGGCGCCACAGTGCTCTGCATTCCTTGGGAGCCATCTCTTTTTTTTTGTACAGATCATACCGATGTCAGAAGAACAAGAGTGTACAGGATGTAAAGCTGCAGCGAAGGTGCTTGGGGTGCCTGGCTCGACCCCTGAACAGGCGGGCGGCGCGGCTCACTGCACTTCATCCACCGACTCGGCAAGCGGCGGCGGCTGCACCGCGCTCTGCTGGCTGCTGCTGCTCTTCTGCAGGGGCTGCACGCGCCGCCCCTGCTGCGCCGCGCCGCTGCTAGGGCCCATGTCGCCGGGGAGCTGCATGTCCTGCATGGCGGCAGGGCGGGACAGCAGTACGGGGCGCCGTCGGCAGCACCCACATCCGGATGTGGTGCATGGCACCCCTATGCCACGAGGCCGAATGCGGCATACAGCGGACGTGGCAGCAGGGTGCCAGACTGCAGCCACGCACACCCAGCGGCAGAGCGTGCCACGGCGGCGGCGCAGGGAGTGCGAAGCAGGTCTGCACAGGGAGGCACCCACCCCTGATGCGACCCTCCGGGCGACCAGCGTAGCACCCGCCATGACCATGACACCGGATGCCACCACTGCAGCACAGGCAGGCCAGAATTGGCGGCAGGCAGCGGTCGTGGTGTGGCGGTATAAGAGCGTATGGGGCGTCGGCGGCGCCCGACTGACTACAACCGGCCCGGCAGAGTGCGGCGCACCTAGACCCACGCTGCTGGCTGCCGTGACCCAGATGGAGCCGTCATAGGCCACGCCCGCGAGGCCGCCCATTGCTGTGCCGAGTTTTGAGTGCCGGGGGAGTCCGGTATATGCGTTAATGCGGCCTAAAAAGTATTCAGATCAACTTGCAATGTATGGGAGGCCGAATGCAGGCTGTTTGAGGCGGCGAATTTCGGAGGAAAGGAGAGGGAAGGGCTTTCGCGTTTTTGGCGTTTGGACATCTTGCGGTAGCTCCATCCAACACAACGAGGACACCATAAGCGGCATTGGCAACGTCCTCGACGGTGGCGATCACCGGGCCCTGCTGCAGCAGGCAGCGGCGTTTGCTAGACGGCCCAGTGAGATAACCAAGCTAATCAAGCGTGTCCACAATCTCATCGGCAACAGCCGGCGGTGATGGCAGACGGCGGGGAGGCGCCCAGCAGCGCCAAGACGCCGGCAGACTTTCTGAAAAGCATCAAGGGCAAGCCCGTCGTAGTGAAGCTCAACTCGGGCGTAGACTACCGAGGTGGGCAAGCACGCCGCTCCCGCTCGCAGCACCGCACCCCAGCTGCCTGCAGGCTCACTGCCTTTGCTCCATTCTTGCAGGCATCCTGGCCTGCCTGGATGGCTACATGAACATCGCGATGGAGCAGACAGAGGAGTACGTCAACGGGCAGCTCAAAAACAAGTATGGTGACTGCTTCATCCGCGGCAACAACGGTGCGCCAGGTTCCCGCAGCCGTCAACACTGTGCTTGGTTTTGCGGCCGCTGCTCCTGCGCGCCCTCAGCATGCCTGGCCTCGACTGCGAGATGGCACAGAAGCAGCTGTGACGTCGCTGAAACACGTCGGCCCACCACGTCGCTCTTGCTTGCAGTGCTTTACATCAGCACGGTGCGGCATCACTGAGAGAGCGCGTACCTTTCAAAGCTCGGTTACAGGCGGGCGGCGTGCTTCTCTGGCAACCAACATAAGAAATACCAGCATAATGTTGATGGCTGGAACGGATGCATAAAGGCGTGACATTCACTCTCAAATGAAGGACAGGCTGCGCACTTAAGGCACCGAGTCGGCTGTATGAGCCAGCGCAAGGGAGGCAAGGTGGCGGTCGAGAATGGTGGTCAGGGAACAGTCAGAGCTGAAACTGGTGCGGGCGGGGATGCATAAACCACGACAAAAAGGGCGTAAATGGCGGTGCCAAGAAAGTAGTCAGAGGGGGAGGTTGGCGCAGTCAGAGGGGGAGGTTGGAGCATGCTCAGCTCAACGCAGTCGGTCAGGTGCTGCTGTGGTCGTCAGCGAGCTGTCGAGGTGTCGTGGAAAAGCTGGCAGGCAGCGTGTTGAGGGCCGCAGCCTGGGCAAAGGCGCCCGCCGCAGGCCTCACCGCTGCGCCACTGCGCTGGCCACGCCGCGCATCGCCTGCATCAGCATGGGCTGCATGAAGGCCAGCCTCCAGATGACCACCATGATCATCACGACGGCCAGAAACACGGCGGCGTTGGTCTGCGGGTTGGCCAGCAGCGCGGCCACGTTGGCGCCCTCGCCGCCGGCGCCGGCCACCGCGGGCGCGGCGCCCGCTGCCGTTGCGTCCGCGCCCACCGCCACGCGCCGCCCCGACAGCTTGCTGGGCTGCTTGGCGAGCGTCACGGCGCCGCTGCCGCCGGCAGCGCCTCCTGCGGCCGTCTCCACGCCGCCGTACTGCCGCTCCAGCAGGCGCACCAGCGTGCGGTACGCCTTGGACATGCCCTGCGGTACAACACAGCAGAACATGCAGTACATCAACACTCCCACAACAGTTCCTTGTCGCCACCGCAGCTGGATGGGAGGCATGCGCGCATGCCGCTGCGCCTGGTGCCAGCTGCTTGCTGCAGCAAGGCCGCCACCGAACAGGTGCATGCATGCATGCGCGCATGCGCACACCCTCTCCACATCGGGCCCCGCACCTTGACGCTCTCCCGGTCGATCTGGCCCTTAAGCGGCCCCCACACCGGGCTGTGGAACTGGCACTCCCCTGCAGCGGCAGGCACCAGCGGCAGCAGCCAGGCAACCATCGGCGCAGGATCCCCACAAGGCAGCCCCCACCGCCCTGTCCCCTTTCTGCCACGCCACCCAAAAGGCGCAGGCACCCAGCACGGCAGGCCGGCTTGGTGGTTGCAGCCCGTCCGCAAGCCCCGCCGCTGCCCGCGGCGTGCAGCATGCGCCCCGGCGGCTGCGCCGCCGCCTGCGAAGCCCGCACCTGTGATGACGAGGCGGCAGGAGTGCGCGCCGTGCGGCGTGGCCACCCACTGCATGTGGTTGGCAAAGGCGGAGGCAAAGGGCACCCCTTCCGAGTCGCACCGCCCCCGCAGCACAAAGCCGCCGGCGCTCAGGTGCACAGCCTCCAGCACCTCTGCGGCGTGGGGCAGGGCCGGGCAGCAGCAGGCAGGAGCGCAGGTCGGCCCAGCTGGGCGGGAGAGCACAGGCACAAGGCCGGCAGGGATGCCGCTGGGGCAGGGCAGCCGCGGCCGCGCCAGGGCGGCGCGAAGCCACGCTGCACGTCTATCTGCTGTGCAGTCTTGGTGGCTGGCCGACATCCTGCGGCCCGCCACAGCAAGCCCAGCGGCAGCCGCACCCGTGTTGAATGCCTGCCGCGGGCCCAGCGCGTTCTTGAGCGGCGTGGTGTAGCGCAGCACGCGCCGCCGCTTGTCGTCTGCACAGGGCAAGGTGCGGAAGGTGCGGCGCGGCACCCAATCCCCGTCGGCCGCTCAGCCAAACGCAGCAGCCCCACCAGCCAGCCGTGAGCAGGCAGGCGTGCAGCAGGAGAGGGAGGAGCGGGGCCAGCCAGGTGGGGCTCCCACCCGTGCGCTTGGCGTGCCCACCTTTCTGCCGCCGCCACTTTGAGATGCGCACATCGCGGTCGCCCAGCTCGCTGTGGAAGTCTGACAGCAGGGCTGAGGCGTTGTGGAAGAGGGCCAGCCAGACGGCGGCCAGCGACATGGGCAGTGTCACGTCCAGCAGCACCGAGCGGAACGGCGCCGGCGGCGCAAACGGCAGCTGGGGGCCCTTGCCCGATGGCAGCTCCACCTGCACCTCCTCCCCCTCATCCTGCACGGAGGTGGCGGCACAGGCATTGCACCAGAGGCAGGCTGGTGCTGGGAGGGCCACACGTGCGGGGTGGCGCCGGCGGGTGCAGGCGAGGCTGGCGAGGGGCCGGCACGCAGGCACCCTTGGGCCGGCTCGGGAGCTCTGGGTGCTGCGGCCGGGCCGTGGGCATCGCCCGCCTCACCTGATCAGCTGCGGGCTGGGCGGCAGCGGGCTTGCTGTCCCCCCTAGGGCGCAGCCTGCCCAGCACCCAGAACAGCGCCGCGGCGGCTGGTACCGCCAGCCTGAGATGCTCGAGCATGGCTGGACGCGTGGGAGGCCAGGAAGCGGAGGAGAGAGGCCCGGCTAACAACCCGCACAAGACCTGTTTGAACGCTTCGAAAAAGCTGCGCTGGGTTTTACGCGTTAGAGAAGGTGGGTTGCGCCGCACAGGGCCGCTGGGTTTCAGCGACAACTGCAGGGCGGCGCCAGCTAGGCCGATGGTGGCAGGCGCCGGCAGACTCTTGCATGGAGCACTCCCCAGGGACTCCCAGCAGCTCTAACCGATCCAGCTCCCACCCAGAGGCATGTGTAAAGAGCGGGTTTGAGCATGTGGCGCCATAGGAACGATTTGGAGCATGCTAGCGGCAGTGCGACTGCCGACCTGCGACGCTCGTCGCCAAGGGACGCAGCAAACAAAGCACGGTATTACAGAAGTGTGTCACAACGCCTCAACATCCCATCCCCAGTGAAAGCATCATCGGCTCCGGTATTGTTTTGGAACCACGATCAACCGATCCAGAAACAATATATGAAACCAAAGGGCATGTTCACGGCACTCATCACCGGTTAGAAAGCTGGACCTCCCGCAGCAGGCAGATCGTGCTGAATCCGCCTCGCCATACAAAATCAACACATAACTAGGCGATCCTGGAAAATATCACATCGCGAAGCGCCAGCGTAGCCCGCTTTGCTGCCGCCCGACGCAGCACACAGCCCGGCGCTGCTTCCACCGCGCTCAACCGCCCCGCCGCCTCCTCCGCCGCCGCCTACAGCACCTGCTGCCGCATGGCAGTCACAAACTGCGCCACCTCGTCCACGCACCGCCGCATCGTGCCGCAGGGCATCACCATCTTGTGGGGCAGGCGTTCGTTTGTGAGCGGGGAGGTGTCGTGGGCGCCCCTGCAGGCACACAACGCAGCCGCGCCATGATGGCATGCATAGCGGAGACGAAGACGAAGGGCACTGAACGCAGGCCCCACCCCGCTCCGCCCCCGACCCAAACACCACGATGCACGCGTGCGTCCACACACGTGCACGCGTCCCCATCACCCCAACCACGTGCACACCCCACCGCCAAGCCACCACGCCACCACCCCGTGCCCCGCCTCCGGCACCTGTACAGCCAGTCCTCAATGGCCCTGCGCTCGTAGATGTTGCCGTCCGCCGCCACCACGGGGTCCACAAATGGTTCCAGGGTGACGGGGCACAGCAGGCTCCTGAAGCGCCGCTGCAGCACGGAGCGCACCTCGGCGCTGAGCGGCGGCGCCTGCGAGGCGGCGGACGCGTCGCCGCCGCCGCCGCGCCCCGCCACCGCGGCGCTGTAGCTGGGCGGCGGCGCCGGCGCCTGGCCGCCGGCGTGGCCGTTGGGGTGGTCCAAGTGGGTGCCTTGCAGCAGGGAGACCAGCTCCTGAGGGTCAACTGCCATGAGCTCCTGGCCGGCCTCCTCCTGCGGCGCCTGCCCCGGGCGCGCCAGCACGCGCGGCGGCGGCGGCACGGCCGGGCGCTGCTGCTGGTACTGCTGCCCCTGCGGCTGGCTGTACTGCTGCCGCTGCTCCGGGTAGCCATGCAGGAAGGTGCAGCGGGGACCGTGCTGCGGCAACGGGCAGCACGCGCCGGGAGGCAGGGCAGGGGCCGGGTCGCAGGCGGGTGTGGCAGAGCTGCGCTGCATGTGCACGCTGGGGGCAGCAGGCAGAGGGCGCCAGCACAGGCGTCCTGCCCTGCCAGCCGGGCTGGGCTGCCCGTACAGCTCGCGCACGCAGGGCACACAGCACATAAGCAACTACAGTCAGCCCGCACGCAAACACGCTCACAGATAAACACGCTCACACACACACACACACACACACATACAGAGCCCGGCCCACCTTGCAGTAGCCGTTCTGCCAGAAGCGGCACACCACCGTCTTCTCCCCGGGGTGCCTGGCGGGCTGGCCGGGGCCCTGCTTCTGGTACTGCCCCTGCGGCCGCTCGGGGCGGCGCAGCTCGTGCTCCCCGTGAGCATAGGTGCACCTGCATGGGGGGACAGTACAGGCTGCGCGTCGGGTGGCGCTGGCTGGGCCGGCACACAGCAGGACACAGGGGCGGCCCGCCTGCAGGAGCAGGCAGCAGGCAGCAGGCAGCAGGCAGCAGGCAGCAGGCAGCAGGCAATGAAGCAGGCAGCAGGCCAGCGCCCCGGTCGGGCAGCGCACCGGTTGCCATGGGAGCAGGAGCCTGCCTGGTAGTGGCGGCACAGTAAGGTCTTGTAGTTGGGCGGAGGCTGCTGGTCGTAGTTCAGGGGCGGGGTGGCCGGCCCGCTGGCCGCCGCCTGCACGCTCACACAGCACAGTCGTGGCAGGGCAGCGTGGGCAGGCGGCGGAGGCAGCTGCGGGCAGCAACTAGCGATTTAGCGGCTGCTGGCCGCCGGCGTGCGCGCCAGCGCCGCTGCTGGGTGCTGGATGGCTGGAGGAGGTGGGCATGGCTGCGGTGCAGCGTCCTTGCGCGCACGGCAGGCCAGCGCAGCACACCTGCGGGCGCTGCACGATCAGCACGCGGCCGCCCTCGCTGGTGCTCGCCGCCGCCGCCGCTGGGTGCTCCTCAGCCTCATACTCCTCAGCCTCGTCGTAATCCTCGTCATCATCGTACTCTTCCTCCTCGTCATACTCCTGGAAAGCCTCCTCCTCGGCCGGGTTGCCGCCCGCCGCCCACTCGGCGGGCGGCGGCGGCGGCGGGAGCAGGGGCATGGGCATAGGGAAGCCGGGAGGCGCGCTCTCTTCCTCGGCCTGCACCGCGATGGGGTGGTGGCCCAGTGGTCAGCGGGCGGCGAACCGCAGGAACCAGAGGTTCAGCCATGAGCCCTAGCGGGTGCTGGTCCAACCCATCCTGCGGGCCTCGCGGCAGCATTTAGCAGCATAGCCTCTGGGATGGCCAGGCAGCCGTGCAGTGCCTTGCTGCACAGAGCGCCAAGTGCGCACACCCACCATCACCAGCACTCTCGTGCACCGGGGCCCGTCTCTGCAGCTGAATTGGACTCCTGGTATTGCAGGGAAAAGAGGACAGCGGGAAAATCCCCTGCTGCGTGTGCGGAGACTTTGGGCTCGTGACTTGGCGCCCCAACTTGCAGCGTGCTGGTCTGCAGACGCAGCGTGCGTGGAGTGGAAGATATGTACCAGCCAGGGCGAGAGAGAAGGCGCGCTCCAATGGTGGTTGGGATCCGCGGCGGCAGGCGGCGGCAGGTGCCAAGCTCGGGCGCTCCCGAGAACCCTGCCGTCGTTTCAGCATCAGCCGCTTTCACTTCCTACACACTGAAGCTGTCCTACCAATGCAAACAACTTGGCGCAGTCATCAGTCCTCGCTGCCCCCAGGCTACAGCACCTGCTGCCGCATGGCCGTCAGAAACTCCACCACATCCCGCATGCACCGCCGCATCGTGCCGCACGGCATCAGCAGCTTGTGGACCAGCGACTCGTTGGTGAGGGGAGAGGTGCCGTTGCCCTCCCTGCAGGGGCGGATACACAAGACACACGGCTTGTCAGCGCCACGGAGCTGGCAAATTGCGGGGGTGCGACAGACACACAGAGACGCGCCATGCGCTGCTGCTGCTGCAGGTATCGGGGCTCCTCCCGCTTGCAAGCCTGCCCTTCCACACCCCCACCTGTACAGCCAGTGCTCGATTGCCCTGCGCTCGTAGATGTTTCCGTCCGCCGCCACCACGGGGTCAACAAAGGGCTCCAGGGTGATGGGGCAGAGCATGGAGTTGAAGGCTCGGTGCAGCACGACCTGCAGGCCTGCAGGGATGGAAGAGCCGCTGCCGCCTCCCCCGCTGCCGCTGCCGCTGTCGCTGCCGCTGCCGCTGTCGCTGATGCCGCCGCTGTCGCTGTCGCTGCCGGCCTCGGAACCCGCTCCCCCGCCCTGCTCCACCAGCTGGCCGGGTGGGACTGCTGCTGCCGCATGCAGGCTCCTGACAGGCCGCTCAATGAGCGCACCGTTGCCAGGCAAAGGCGCAGGGCCGCCTCGGGTTTCTGGCGGCAGCAGCCAGGCCGCTGGCAGCACCGGGGGCAGCACCGGCGGCGGCGCGGGGCTGGGCGCCAGGGCCTGGAAGCCTGCTCCCGCAACGCTGCCGGCTGCCGCGCTGCTGCCAATGCTAGTGGCTGGCCCCTCAAGGTAGGCTGTGCCTTGCAGCAGGGCTGCCACCTCGGCAGGATCAATCTCAGCCACCGCAGCGGCTGGGGTGGCAGGGTGGCGGCCGCCATGCCGTGTTGCGGGTCGCGGCGGCAGCGGCGGCGGGCCGATGCCGGCTGCGGACGGGCTGGTCGAGGGTCTTGCGGTGAGTTTGGGATGCAGCTCGTGCTGGCCGTGAGCAAACGGGCATCTGTACAGCAGGGTGGCAGGCAGCCGCTGGCCTTCGCAAGATGCTGCGCGACTGGCCGCCTGTGGCAGCAGGCATGGCTGGTGTGGTTCAGGCGGAGCACCAAGGGCCACACCTGGACCCACGCTTGCAGCCGCCTGGCGAGGCGAAGTAGCGGCAGAGATCGATTTTGAAGAGCTGCTCGTCACGTGGCGGCGAATGACGGGGCGACGGCGGGAGCTGCCGGGGCGGCGCGGCGGGGGCTGCCACCGCTCGTGTGGCGCGTAGCACACGCAGTACCTGCAGGCAGCGAGCAGACAGAGCCGTTGCTTTGTTGCATGCGAGGGAGGCATCAAAGCATGCGACGCGAGATTGGAGCGCAGAGGCGAAGCCGACCCGGCGTGGCGCGGGGGCCTCCTGGCTCTTGGTGTTGGCGCCATGCCCCTTCATCTCCCCCGTGCGCCCCGCCTCTCGCTGGCCGTGCGCCAGCCGGCAGCGGTCCCCATTAGTGCAGGAGCCCAAGGTGGCAAACGAGGGACACTACAGGGCAAGCAGGATAACGGAGGATGAAGGCCCACAGTGATTGAAGCTGGCAGCGACATCGTAGTTCGGCTGCCAGGCCCACACCTGCGCTTGGGAGGCCGGCGCTCCCCGGGGCCGTGGGGGGGCGGGGCTTCCGCTCCGCATGCTGCTGCTGCCTTCAGGCGGAGCGAGACCTGCCTCACGCAGCGCCTGCACTGCCTGCAAGGAAGGCGATGCGTGAGTTTCGTGAGTGGGCCCAGCCCAGAGTCGGCTGGAGTAGAGAAGGCGGGTCTAGAAGTTCAACCAAACCTCAGAGAATGGGAGGGATTCGTAAATGAAGAGCGAGCGGCGGCACCGAGCATTCCTGAGCCTCACGAGGCGCGCCCTCGGGCCTACCTGCGTGGCGGAGGAGCGTATCATCTTTATAATCGCGCCGAAACATTAAAGGGATCGGATCAACAGCGCGGAGCTCCTGCCGGCGGAAGCCCACCACGCCGTGCAAATCGTGCAATGTAGCGGCAGCTAGAGCACCCGTCTGGCCACTTCGGGGGCCGCCCCTTGCTCACCCATGGTTTTTTGATTCAACAGTGGTCTCAACTGGAGCAGAGCACAATTGTGTTCTCATGCAGGGACGCGGCGGGCCGACGGCGCACCGCATTGCATATATGCAGTCCGGCCGCAGCAGCAAGGCACGTGGTGACAGCAATTGAGCATACAAGGACCTTACACGGACAGTCCTACACCAGCAAGGGTGTGTAACGGCTGGTTTGGCTTGCTGCTCATATGGTCTAGCTGGCGGACGGGTGGCCTGGCGGCGGCGGCTGAGCTGTCATGCCAAGCCTGCCGAGATCGCTGGAAATGGGCTCGATGCACTTCCGCCAGCCGTACTTGCTGTCTGAAGCTGCCGCTCCCGCCAGGCAGCCCCTGGTGCGCAGGGGCGATCGTCATGGCGGCCTCCTTGGCCCGGCACGCCGCCCGGGACTGGGAGAACCCCGAGGTTATCGCCATCAACAAGCGGAGAGCCCACGTGCCACTGCGATCGTTCACGACACCCGAGCAGGCCTTCCAGCACTTCCGCCTGGCCTCTGGTGCGCCTGTCCCGCCCCGGGTTTGCCTTGGAACAGCGTGCCATGATCCATGCCGGGCCACGCAGGGGCTGCGGCGGCCCCGGGACAGCCCACAGGGGGAGCACCCTGCTCGCGCTGCGTCACCCGCCCGCCCATCGTCCATCTTGTTTTGCTGCTCAATCATCATCCACCCCCATGCCCTGCTGCCCCACAGAGGCGCCCAGCAGCCCCCGCATACTGAGCCTCAACGGCGGCGCCTGGCGCTTCCGCCTGTTTGAGCAGCCCGAGGAGGTGCCTGCCGCCTTTGCCGACGCCGACTTTGACGCCTCGCAGTGGGCACAGGCAAGCAGCCCGGCAAGCAGCAGCCCAATCGCCAGCCTTAGCCGTTGCTCGCACAGCATGCATGTCTGCCAGGCAGGTGTTTGTGTACAGAGGAACAGATCGCCTGCTACAGCCGCCAGAGCAGGCGGCCCGCTTCTTGCCGCCGCCACCCTGCGCCCACAGCCTCCGTTGCTCTCTGCCGTCCCTCCGCCTCCTGCCGCGCGCCGCTGCAGGTTGCGGTGCCCACCAACTGGGAGTGCCAGGGCTTTGGGCGCCCGCAGTACACCAACTTCGTTTACCCGTTCCCAGGTGGGATTTCTTTCTTTCTTTCTTCCACCCGTCCTCGCTGTACAAGCAGCGGGGTGGGGACTGGGTCCTCTGCCGACCCCGCCAGCCAGCCGTCTGCCTGGCCCCACCACGCCAGCTGCCCACCGCACACCCAGACCACGCCTGCAGCATTGGCATTGGTGCCTGCCTGATGCTCTGCCCCAGTCGGTCCGCCTGCTGCCTGCCTGAACCCCTCCTGCGCCCTCCCTGCAGTCAACCCGCCGTTTGTGCCCGAAGACAACCCCACCGGCTGCTACCAGCTGACCTTTGCAGCGCCGGCAGGGGAAGCAGACCACAGGCAAGTGCAGAGCCCATGTTCCAGCCGCCTGGCGTGCAGCAAAGCAGCCGGCTTGCTGCCTGACGCCTGCCGCCTCCAGGGAAGCGTGCGGTGGCGAAGCTGCCTACCGTAGCTTGCCTGTGCGTGTCCTATGCCCGCTCCTGCTGCCTTGCTTCCTGCAGAGCGTTCCTGGTTTTCGAGGGAGTGGACTCCGCTTTCTACTGCTGGCTCAATGGACAGGTGGGTGTGCAGTCCTGCTCTGCTTCAGCGCCCTGCTTGGGGACTGTCGCCTTTGGTGCATGCCTTCCTGTCCTGGCAGGTGCTGCGGGCACTGCCGGGTTTTCACAGGGCTCTATTGCTTCCAGCCAGCTTCTGGGCGCCTTCCGCCGGTACCCTGGTGCAGTTTGTGGGGTACAGCCAGGACAGCCGGCTGCCAGCTGAGTTCGACGTCACCGAGCTGCTGAGCCCGGGCGGTGACAACGTGCTGGCAGTACAGGTGCGTTACCGCCAGCGCTAGGAGGGCGCCTGCAGCAGCTGGCAGACTGCTGTGCGTGTGCGGTCCTGCGGCGCTCTCTTCGCCGAACTGCAAAGTCGGGTGTGCTGCCTGGCATGTGCCGTACCGCCTGGTTCTGCCTGGTATGTACCGCAGGTACTGAAGTGGAGTGACGGCAGCTACCTGGAAGACCAGGACATGTGGTGGCTGTCGGGCATCCACAGGTGGGCTGTGCTGCAGGGCCGCCGGCAGGGCGCCTGCCTGCAGCTGCCCTGCAGCTGCTGCGTGCGGGCACCACAGGTGTCTCGGCGCCGACAGGGGCTCTGCCCAGGCTCTGCCGAAGGGCGTCTGGGCGCAGCTGGGCTTCCTGTGAGCCTGCGCAGTTGTCCTTTGTCTGCGCTGGTCACCAGCCGCCTCCCCTGCGCCTCTGCTCCTCCTGAACCAGCCCTCCCCAGCTGCCTGCGCCGCCCCCTTCCGCCGCAGGGACGTCTACCTGCTGCTCAAGCCGCGGGAGCACATTGCCGACTTCTGCGCACGCACCCCGCTGCAGTTTGACGGCGCTGGAGCGCTGGTCGGAGCCACGTGAGTGGCTTCGCTGGGGGCTGGGGCGGTGTTCCCCTGTCGGCGCCGCGGAGTGGATTGGCTGGGGGCTGGGGCGGTATTCCCCTGTCGGCGCCGCGCAGTGGATTGGCTGGGGGCTGGGGCGGTGTTCCCCTGGCGTCGCCTTTATGCATGTGATCACCTTGCCCGCAACCTGTGTCTCAGCAAGGAGGTCACCGAGCATGCCTGCCAGGCGCGCACACCACATCTGGCAGGCACACTCGGTGACCTCCTCGCCGAGCCACAGGTTGGCCGGCAAGGTGTTCACATGCGCATGCCGCGCCTGGCTGGCATTCCGAGCTGGCTGCCAACATCACGACGGGTTGCTGGCAGTGGCGGCATGCGAGGGGAGGCGCCTGGGTCAAAGCGAGGGATCGGCGGTCCGCCGCCCTGCGCCGCCTCTTCTTGGAAGTATGCAGCACCAGCAGTCAAGAAGTCCACCACGGCGTCAGCGCCGAGTGCCCCGCCGGCCTGCCTCCCAGGCACGACAGGCTGCTGTTCTGGAGACCGACTGCTGGCGCTGTGGGCTTGCCGGTGGCGGCCTGCGGGAGGGTCGTGCCGGTTTGCTGCTCTTGGCCTGCTGCCTGCTGTTCTGTGCTGAGGCTTGGTAGGTTGCTGCTTCTGCTGCTGTTGGTAGCTGTTGGTAAGGGGCGGTGTGTCGGTCTCGGAGTGTCAGCAGTTACAGCAGGCCGCAACATCCCCCCCCACCACCACCGCCCCCGCCACCCCCTTCTTCGCCCCCTGGCAGGCTGGATTTTGAGGTGCATGTGGAGGGCAGCAGCGCGGCTGCTCTGCAGGGGCTGACGGTACAGGCGGTGCTGTACCGCTGCAACGAAGCCGGAGAGGTGGACCCGGCAGGTGGGCGGCCGGCCCCTGCTGCCTGGCCCTAACTTTTATCGCCTCCAGGCTGCCCAGCCTGGAAGCTGTCGCATCATGCTTGGTTGGATTGATAGCACCCTGTAGCCAGAGCAGCCGGTGCTCACCAGGCTGCCCGTTCCGCCTGCGCCTGCAGGTGCTCAGGCCTGCCAGGTGGCCGAGCTGGCATCCCAGCTGCAGCCCGTCTGGGCGGCCGCCGACACGCGCGGCAGGAGCGGCGCCGGCAGCGCCTACGCGGGCGCCCGCGCCACAGTGAGACGCATGGGCCGCTGACCTGTCCTCCTGGCCCTTGTGCCTGTGCTGCCTGCCGCTCAGCATAGCCCTGGGCATAGCCCCACCTCAGGCTGGGGCTGGGCGGCTTGGGAACCTGCAGACCGGCCCTTGCACACCCACCACTACCACCCAGGCACACACACACGCACACACACACACATACCACCTCACCCCAACCTGCAGCTCTCGCTCGACATGCTGAGCCTGCCAGGCGGCGCCGCCTCGCTCCGCCTCTGGTCTGCGGAGCAGCCGCACCTCTACCTGCTGCTGCTGTCGCTGTCGAGCAGCGGCGGCGGCGAGGGAGGCGGCAGGCGAGTGCTGGAGTGGGAGGCGTGCCAGGTGGGCTGCCGGGGGTGGCTGGCTGGCTGGCACATGCCATTGCGATTCGGTACAGCCAGTGGACGGCTCGGCAGTGCTAGGCCCAGGCGCACTGGTCCTGTGCCCTTGTGGCGCTGGCCCTCCTCCTGCATCGTTTGGGTGGTCATGCACCTCATGCCTGCCGCCGCCGCTGCTGCTGCCGCGGCCCATGCTGCTGCTGCAGGTCGGGTTCCGCCATGCCGAGGTCAAGGGGCGGCAGCTGCTGCACAACGGGCAGGCGGTAATGATGAAGGGTGCGCCGTGCGGGCTGATCCTTGCCAGCCCTGCCGCCCATGCCCTGCGCCTGCTGCTCTGCCGCCGCCGCACAGGCTGCTCCCAGCGTGCTGGCGCTGCTGTGCTGCTCTTTCCGTGGCTGCTGCTGCTTCCCCCAGTGTTCTCGCTGCCCCCAGCACCCGCCAAAGGAGCTGCCAGGTTGGTTTGGCGTGTTGCTGGAACACCTGCGGCTCCTGCCCGCCGGTCTGCTGCCGTGCAGGTGTGAACCGGCACGAGCACGACCAGTTGTGCGGCAAGACTGTCAGCCTGGAGGGGATGGTACAGGTGCAGGGCTGCCGTGCCCGCCCGTCTTCCTGACTGGCTGCGGTGCTCGCTGCTCCTGCTGCGCACCTCGGCCCCAAGCCCAGCCGCACCCTGTGTGCTGATTTAGCTGGCAGCCACACTTAAGAAAAGGAGTGCAACGGATTGTCCCATCAAATCATATAAATGCCCCCTCTGCGGTCCCGCCCTGTCCCGCCCCGTCCCGCAGGACATATGCCTGATGAAGCGCTTCAACTTCAATGCGGTGCGCTGCAGCCACTACCCCAACAACACGCTCTGGTACGAGCTGTGCAACAAGTACGGGCTGTATGTCGTGGGTGAGTGGCACTCAATGAGTAGTACCCACAGACTGCTAGTAAGTCGGGCGGCAGCCCTCCTTCCCTGTCAGCACCCACGCAGCGGAAGTCAGCGCCTCTCTGGATCCCTGTTTTGCATCACCGCCTGCCGCCACGGGGGCCTGCACCATGCCGCGTGCTTCTCAAGGGTGACCAGTGTGACCTCTGGCTCTCTTGGAGCGCAGCCCCCGCAGACCCAGCATCACCGCTGCCTCGGCAGGCTGCGCTCCAAACCAGGCAGAGTGTACACTGGTGCCTTGGTGCGGCAGCCGGGCTGGGTCGATTCCACGGGGGAGGGTGGGGGGGGCTGCTTGCGTCGCCAACCGCTGCAAGTAGATGTTTGCGGGGCCGCCTGTGGAGAGGCGCCCAAATCTGACGGTGCCATGGTCCCGCAGCATGCCGCCGGGACCCTGGCACGGCGGGACCATCGGTGCATGCGCCCGATGCCTCCCAGGAAATCCGATGGGTGGCCCGCCCTGAGCGGCTCGGCTGGCAGATGGTTTGCCAGGGGCTTCCGCATGCGGTTGGGCTCTCTCTTCTGCACTGCCATGCACGGTTCCAGCTCTCGTGTGTGCCTGCTGGCCTATGCATCGCCGCCCCGCCTGGGAGCGCGAACCCGCCGCGCCCCCAAGTGGCGGCGCCGCACAGCGCCGCGCGACGTGCACGCTGTGCTGGGCTGCCGTCTGGTGCCGGGCAGCCCGCTGGCGCTGGCCTGAGAAAGGCGCGCTGCGTTCCCCACCGCCTCCCGCTGCGCGTGCCAACAAGCTGAGCAGCGCAGGTGGCGGCGGCTGCCTGTGCGCGTGTGCCACCCACTCACGGCGCCGCGTGCAAGCAGGTACCGCGAGTCGGGTGTGCAGCTGCCGGGCAGCTGCTGCCACCCGCGCCTCCGTGCCTAGCCGCACATGCGCTGTGCAGGCCGGGCGCTCGCAGCCGGCCTGCACAGCGCAGCGCTGCAGGGGCGCAGTGCAGGCACGCATCGTGGTGCTTGCGGCTGAGCTCAGCGCCGTCGTGTAGGGTAGAGAAGGCGGTGCCGTGAGCGCCATCATTGCTGGTGGCCGCGGGGTGCACCCGCCACCCCTCAGCTGGCTTGCATGGCGTGCGCGGCGCCAGCCGCTCCCCTGTGCGTCACTCGCTGCCTCCTGCCCTTGCCTTCATGCCCACACGCCCGGGCCACCTGCTGCTGCTTCGCTGCCCCCGCTCGCCGTCCGCTTGCCGCTCATGCGCTTGCATTCACCCCTGCCGCCCACTGGACCCCAACACACTCCCTCCCAACACCCAAAGAGCACACACGCGCGCGCACACACACGCGCACACACACACGCACACACACGTACATGCAGCACCCCACCCCACCCCACCCTACCCCACCCCACCCCACCCCACCCCACCCCACCCCACCCCACCCGCTGCAGACGAGGCAAATGTGGAGACACACGGCTTCGACCCCGCCCTCTGCAACAACCACCTCAACCCAGCCTGCTCCCCGCTCTGGCTGAACGCGATTGTGGGTGAGAGGCATGCTGCCGCCGCCACCTGCAAGCGCCCGCCGGGCTGCCTTGAACGCAGCCGTGCCCTGCCCTGCCACCATCAGTCTGAGAGTCGCAGTCACAGACGCCCACACGCCCAGTGCTCAACCCATGCCTTGCCTTGGGCCCTGCTGGTGCCCCCTTCCTCCGGTGCGCCTTGTGCAGACCGCGGAGTGCGCATGTTTGAGCGGGACAAGAACCACCCAGCCATCATTCTGTGGTCGCTGGGAAACGAGTCGGGTGAGCTGGCTGCCCGCCACGTCGGCAGTGCCCGCCACGTCAGCAGGCGCGTGCCGCATGAGCAGCGCTGGCCAGCCATTGCAGCAGCGCCGGGAAAGGCCACGCCAGCAGCAGCGGCTCCCCACGCTGCCGGGCAGCGAGCGCAGCCAGAGTCGTGAGGGACGGGCGCCGGCCTGGCCGCAGCTCAGGCAGCGGCCTGCCTCTGCCCTACTCTCCTGCCTGCTTGACTGACTGACTGGCCGCTACATGTCTAACGTGTGTGCATATGCGCTGCCCTGCAGGCTATGGCGCAGCCCACCTGGCGATGGCCGGCTACCTACGGGCGAGGGACAGCAGCCGGCCGGTGATTCATGCCGCCACACTGCCGGGGCACCCCCTTGCCGCAGCGTGCGCCTGCCCTGGCTGCTGCAGCACCGCCTGAACTCCTGCAGGGCTGCAGAGCCCCTCCCATTTGTGCGGCGGCCGTTTGCCAGCCAGGCAAATGCGTCACCCCTTCGCTGCGCTGCAACCGCTGGCCCTGCCGCTGCTGGCGCCGCACGCAGGTTCACTACGAGGGGGGCGGCAGCCGTACCGCCGCCACCGACATCATTTGTCCCATGTATGCCCGCGTGCACCAGATCCTGAAGCTGGCTGACGAGCCGGGTGGGTGTGGCTGAGTGGTTGGAGCAGTGCTGGCACATGTGGTGGTGGTGTGGGTGGCGCTGCGGGTTGGCACTGCTGCAGACTGCCTGCACGGCACGCCCGCCGCTTGCACCGTGGCTCGCCGCGGCGGCAGCCTCCCGGCAGCACCGCGCAGCGCAACTGCGGCCGGGGCGGCTCTTTGCCGCTGCCCGGCCTGCCTGGCACAGCAGGGCCGGCCGCCCCTGCGCCGCAAACTAGCCAGCTGCGATTTAAAGGCTCCCCCGCACCACACACGCAAAATAAGAACAGGCACCCACTCAGCAGCAGCGCTGCCCTGAGTCTGCGAACCGTGCCTGCTGCCCTCCCCCGG